CTTCATACCTAACTTCACATATTCCAACAAACATGATGTTCTTACATGCAAATGGTTATTCAACTAATTCTTCGCGTCAATTTACTAACTATCATTGTTAGCCCACTAAATGTCACATTCCAACAATGATCAGGATAAACCCAAAAAAACAAACACATTTGCCTAATCCATACCACAACAGTTGCCCCTCCCAATTCTTTTTTTAATTCCTGTAAAATGCCTACAAACACTATAGCAATACAGTTCACTACCAACACTAATTTTTCCCTTCATCGTCAATTTCATACTTAACCCCCACACAAACTCTTAACGCTGCACTCACAAGCCTTCTCTCACTAAACCAGGAGGATTTGATAAAAGGCAAAAAGGGTGACGGCCGAACACTATGTCACACATTGGTAACCATTCCTCAGTTACAACCTAAATGTCATTACTAAACACACCTACCTTTCACTGGGTCATTCTTTCTTAACCTACCATGAAAATCGAATCGAACAAATCTACTGCATCTAATATGGACCGCGAAGCTTACCAAAGAAAATCAGTGACTTCTTCTCGCCTGCTTCTTCCTTCTTTGTTGATAGCCTTGCAGGTTTCCTCCTTTCTCTGCCTCGTCTTGTTCTCCTTTTGCTTGTAGTGACAACAACCAAGTCGCAGAATGAGGCTGACACAATTTTTGGGGGGCACGTCTAACACTTTTGGCAGATTAGAAGAGGCAAGAATCTTCCCTAGTGGTAGCACGTTCGCAAGCGGGACACGACAGATTTTTCATTAAGTGGTACCATATTGGTAGACCGGGAGAGGCAACAGTTTTCCTAGAGTGGTTGCACGTTCGCAGAGCGGGAGAGGGAAGAGTTTTTGCATAGTGGGATCACCTTCACATAGAGAGAGAGAGGGAGGACTGCCTGACCATATTTTGGCCCTTATTTTCAAACTTTAGGGGAAGTTTAATGAGGTGCAAAAACATCATTTCGCTTCTAGAATTAATATCAGATTGGCCCCTTGGTCCTGTAGTGAGATTTCAGAAAGTTTTGGGGGCAGTTTGAGATTAATTGTGTACTGCAGTCCTTAAACAAAATTTTCCCATAATAATACTGTAGCAGCCCCAGACCTAACAAATTATATATATAAACACCTATAGTTGTCCCTCTTTCACTGTACTGTATGTATATATATATCCATCCCACAATGCTATTGATCTTACTCATAAGACATGGCTTCCTCTTCTATCCTCACCTTTTTTTCTCTCCTCTTCATCTCTTTCATCTCCACACACGTAGCCAACTTTGAGATCCTCAACAATTGTTCTTACACTATTTGGGCGGTCGTCAGTCTTGGCAGTGGTCGCCGCCTTGACCGTCGCCAGATATGGAATCTTTGAGTGAATCTTAGAACTGCCATAGCTTGCATCTGGGGTCGCACTGGTTGCAACTTTGATGCTAGTGGCTGCGGCCGCTGCCAGACCGATGACTACACCGACGGCCTCTAATGCATCGGCTAGGGCGTCCCTCTGAACACACTTGCCGAATTTGCCTTAAACCAATTCGGCAACCAAGATTTCTACAACATATCCTTAGTGGATGTCTTCAATATACCCATGGATTTCTACCCTCTGAACAGAGGTTACCACAAGATCAGCTGTACGACGGACATTAATGGACAGTGTCCTAGAGAATTAAAGGCACCAGGAGGATGTAACAATCCTTGCACAGTGTTTAAGACAAATGAATATTGCTGTACTAATTGACAAGGTAGCTGTGGACCGACAAGGTATTCGAAGTTCTTTAAAGATAGATGTCGAGATGCTTATAGTTATCCTCAAGATGATCCTACAAGCACTTTCACTTGCCCTGCTGGTTCCAATTACAGAGTTGTTTTTGTCCATTAGGTTCTTCTTCTGATATTCATCTTGAGATGTCTGGAAGCTCCAACATTGAATATTAACGAACAGCAGTTCAAATATGTGTGAATCCATTTGTGCTTTCAAAATATCAGACGTTTTCTTTACTGAAAACTTTACTTTTGAGAAGGATTCATATGTAAGAATAGTAAGCTTTGGAGTTTCCAATTTAGTTTGCGCTGTGGTTTTAAGTGGGCCTGTGTAATGGAGTGTTGAGGAGTATAAATAAATTAAGGCTATGGTTTCATGGATCAAGTTTGTTTTTAACAATGTTTTAAAATGCCGGATCAAAAGTTGAGCCGAAAATATCAACGGATCATAGTTTAAACGATTGGATCAATTAAACCCCCCACTCTAACCAGTGATGCAATAATTAATTAAAAATAATGAAAATTTGGCATCTCTCAAAACAATAAATTTTTTTTCAAGATTTTGATTAAATTGAAAAAAATAAACAAAAACTTCTAAATAATAAATCATTTTTTAGGTAGTTTGGAAATCATTTACTTCTTAAAAATTAAACAAACCGGTCTTTAGTGAATAAAATTGTTATTACTATCTTATAGGATTTTATTTATAGTCTATGAATATTATAATATCCAATGTCTTGTATTTCCGGGAACGTGGTGCAAACGTCTACTAAAGGGTGAAACCTGGAGAAACTTGTTTTGTATTTTCTTATGAATATATCAAAGGATAGCTTAGTCATGGATTTATGGGAGCCTACGGGTTATGATTTATTCCACATGTCATATGATGACTGGATCCGTTGTTAAAAATTCTTATTCTCATGAAATTTCTGGTCATGGCAGTATGCCGAGTGTTTTATGCTCGTGTTCAAGCTACTGTGAAAGTATGTAATGATGCATCAAGTGATGAAATTGGAAAAATCTTAGGACACCTTCCTACACGGCAGCATTGTCGCGGATGAGAAAGAATATTCCATGCTGATGATGTGTTTCACAGTCTAGAGGACTACCGGAATTGTGAAAGGTGAAATTTGACTGGCAGAAGCTGATTTGAATATGATTTACATAGACGAGTTTCTTCTTTCTATCTCACTTGTATGTATGACAATGAGTCTAAGTCTATGTAGGGTTTTATCACTTATGATGTCCCCAGTTTGGATGGTGCCATTGACTAAACCGTTCTCAGGGCAAGTTATTCTTTCTTTAAAGAATGCCATAGATTCAAATTTGAAATACAAAGGAAAAGTAATTTCAAATTTTAAATTGTATCGATAATAATCAAAAGACAGAATTACCGTAGACAGAGATGGAGGAATTTATTCATTTTCTAGTTGTGACCGTGGATGCGATGAATTGTAAAGCAACTAGCAATGTAAATATAAGAAGGCTTGGGAGTAGGAATCTTCTAGAAAAATGATCCGATAAAATGAAAGATTCATGAAAATGTAAGCATTCCAAAATTACAAATCAAAACCCAAAATTGCAGACTCAACTTTTAAATGTTAGCCTTATGTGTAAAATTTTCTAGAAAAGTTGAAGACTCAACTAGTCAAGATTTTATTCAAGTTATACGTTTCTTTTATAGATAATAATTATTTTTTTTAGAAATAAGTTTCCTCTTATAATACTCCTTTTGTCCTAGTGTCCTAGCACTATCTTTGGATGGGGAGAAATTAAAAGGTAAAGAATACTACGGCTTAATTTTAATTCTAAATATAAAATTTTAATTTAATTTATTTTTATTATTTATCATTTTTAAAATAATTTATTTAATTTATAAACTAACATATAATATAATGTTACTGAGAGATATTTTAGAAAGGTCATGCTATATTTGTTAGAATTAAGTGATTATTTAACTTTTTTAATTTATTCAAGTTAATTAAATAACTCTTACATTACGTATGAGAGAGAAATAAAAGACTAATTTGTTCCAAGATATAAGAAAAAAAAGTATTTTATCTCTCCTGACTACATTTACTCCATGTTAAAATACTGAATTCCAATCACGTATTTAAGAAATTTATGAGAGTATCTACCATTCATTCTTGCCAATCCAGAAACAAAGGCGTGGTTTTAATTCTCTAATTTGATGTAGAATTTCATTTTGTATTCTTAATTTTATAAGACTTTTTCTCTAATATTCTAACCTCAATATCGTTAATTTCAAATGATATTTTTTCGTCAAAGAGATATTGGAATTTCTTCGGCAAAATTTTTTTTACTATGATGTGTAATCTTTTTATGCAAGCGATTTTGTTTGTGATAGAGCCGACTTATATATCAGAACAAGAAATAAAGACTATCATCTCACCATATTCAAACCTAGCAGTATATAGTAAACTCTAGAGAATAATAAGAGTATAAAAAAAAATGAGCAAAACCCATTTCAAAACTAACTAGTAAAATGTTCCACAAGAATATGGCATGAATGGAAATATACAAGAATGACACTATGACGGAAAACAAATCAAACATTGCAATTTTTGAAAGGGAACTGCAGAGAAATGAATATTAAGAAAATTTATTAGTTAAGTTAGTTACTTGTCACAAATATGTATTGTTATTCCCAAAATACTTTTGTTAATCATCTGTAATAAAGTGAAAACATTTTAACATGTACAATCATATAGGGATTATTTTGAGAGAAATGAATAAATATGAAAAATAAAATAAATTGAGATCATATATTTAGATTGAGATTGAATCTCTAACTAGCTCTTTTATTTAAGATCTAAACTTGATCAACAAAGGAAAATACAAAACACCATATTTCAAGTCCTCGCATTTCACTATAGCCCCATTAGTTTTATGCTTAACACGCGTACTCGTAAAACTAAACATAAATACTTGGAAGAAATAAGGGTTCAAATAGCAATTGTAAAAAAAAAAAAAAACTAGGTTTATTTCACTTATGATGTCTCCAAGAGAACTTATTCATCTATTCTAGATATAGAAAAGCAAAAAGGAAATGAAATTGCATCCTCTTTCCCCTTTTATTCATTTGAAAATCAGAAAGGTTTCCACCTTAAGCATCTATAAGTTTTCCCTCCACGGTGTTCATATGTCAAATCAATCTAAGGGATAACCTTGTACAGCATGTCGTCTACATATTTGAAGTATCATAACCTCTATTGCTGACAAAAAATAATGGGAAAGATAATAATACCAAGGCCAAAAGTAAATCCCAATCCAGCACTTAAGAAATTCCAATCAATATCACTGCCATGATTTGATCCATTAGATGTTTTGGACCACGATGTTGGGGTCAACAATCCTAGTACATCATCGAAATTGCAATTTGGCGTCAATGGAGGCCCACATAAATGATTGTTTCCTTTGAAGGAATCAGCCTCAAATGACTGAATTTGGGTACCTATTGGGATCAGCCCTATCAGATGATTATAGGAGAGGTTGAGAAATGCAAGGAAATTTAGACTTGCGAGTTCTGATGGAATTCTCCCGCCGAAAGAATTCATTGACAAGTCTAATGATTCAAGATGCCTCAAGTTTCCTACAGATGAAGGAATATGGCCTGAAAAAGCATTCTTTGATAAGTTAAGAGCATGAAGTGCTTTGAAATTCATAATTTCCTCTGGCATTGGCCCTTCAAAATGATTGGATGAGAAATCCAAGGAAGTAAAGGCGACAAAAATCTTGACCAACTTTAGTTGTCTTCCTTTATTAACAATTGTCACTGAATTCAAGTAGCTACGACAACCAAAATCATATGCATTGACATCAAAGAATACGCTACTGATCACAGATTGTGATTGTGTTGCTATAATTTTGGCTAGCTCCAATGCAAGATCTTTGTTCACAGAGGATATTCCAGCGTTGATGTTCACGAGACTAATGTTGTCATAGATGTCAATATACAAATAGCCCAACTTTGATTTGCCATCATCTTCATCAGGTGTCATCAATGATTTCCAACTTTGCAAAAGTGCAACAGGTAGAGCACCACTTAAATTATTTGAGGCCACATCAACAATTTGAGGTGCCTTCCATTTTCCATTGCTATTTGGACATTCAATGTTCCCATAAAATCAATTTAACCTGAGAATAATGATTCTTAAGGTGGGTATGTTCCCTAAGAAACATGGAAATCTATCCATCAATTGATTGTTTCTGAGGTTTATGACTTGTAGTTTGAGGCAGTTAGCCAAAGATGCTGGGATTTTACCACTCAAGAAATTTTCATTCAGGTCTAAGAATTGGAGGGCACAAGAAGTTGAAAATGTGTCTAAAATTTGGCCTGTAAGGTTGTTTCTAGCTAGATTCAACACCCTGTGAGTCCAACTCATTCTTATCAAACACTCAAGAATGGAACCACTGAAGTAATTATAAGAAAGATCAAGCATCCAAAGAGAAGAAATGCTGCAGAGGGATTCTGGAATTTTCCCCTGAAAACCATTATTTGTAAGGGAGAGAGAGAAATTGTGAATGGGATATCGTTACTAATATCTGGTGGGTCAATTGAGCTGAACTGATTGCTTGAGTAGTCCAAATGGAGCACACATTTTGGAAGTATGGGAACTCGGCCTTTGAGTTGGTTGGAATGAAGATCAACATAAAACAAATTGGAGCTAATATTTTGAAAAGGACCTTCCAAATCTGTTAGAAAATTGTTGGAAAGATTTAGGAAAACTAATGAATGAAACCTCCAAATCCAATTGGGTATTGTTCCTTGAATTTGGTTGCTGGATAGGTCAAGGTACAACAAATTGGATTGATGTCTGAGAAATCTCCAACTTTCTCAACTTGCAAGAAGCCAACATGAGATTGCTCAATTTAGGGAATGGTGAATGATGAATTTGGTCAGACATTAAATTTCCATCAACTAGCAAAGTGTTATGAGAGAGATCTAATGTCGCCAAATTTTCCATGCTTTTGAACATATCCAAGTGTATGGTTCCATTGAACATGTTTGAGGAAAACTCGATGAAACTTAGCCTTTTAAGATGAAAGATAGACAAAGAAATATGTCCTTGTAAATTATTCCCACTGATATCGAGGACCTCTAATGGGGAAGAAGAAGCATTTGGAAATTCATCCAATAGACCCTCAAATTTATTATGAGAAAGACTCAGTCCACCTAAAGATGGAAGTGTAAAAAGAGATGATGGAATACTCCCATTGAGAAAATTACGACCTAAATCAATGAAGACAGGATTTTCAAGGCCCTTGAAATGAAAAGATGGAATTTCACCCTCCAAGCCATTGTTATTGACATATAGATATGAAAGGTTCTTTGACATATTGAAAAATGGAAGAGAACCAGTGAAGTTGTTGAATGACAAGTCTAGATGAACAAGTGATGTCAGTTCTGAAATAGAACTAGGAAGCCTTCCGTGGAATTTGGATTTTGATAGATCTAATGAAGACACCATCCTCAAATTAAGAAGATAACTTGGTAGTTGCCCTGAGAAACCTGTACGGCTAAGGTTTAATGAGCGGAGAAATGCATTATGCTGGAAATATGGTAGAGAGCCTTGAAGATTTTGATTATCTGACAAATCAAGGACCTGCAAGTTGGATATCTGGAAGATTTGTTTTGGGAACATCCCAATCAAATTGCAGTTTCTAAGATGCAAGGTGGTTAAGTTGGTTAAACCATCAAAGGTCTCAGGCACAGAGCTTGTGAAATTGTTATTGTTCAACCGAAAAACTGAGAGAGATTGAAGCTTTACAAGTGATGAATCAATAGGTCCAAGGAGAAAACAAGAAGACATACTATGAAGATTTTGCAGTGAATATAGCGCTTGGCCCCACTCCTTCCCCTTAACAGACATCTTCACACCATCAAAATATAGCTCTTTAATTTCTGTGAGGTTCTGCAAGCACTTGCTGTATTTGGCTTTTCAAGTTTTAGAGTGTGAAGTGAGGTAGATAAATCAAGAAAAACTAGCTCTCTTAGATAAGATATCTCATTTGGAATCTGACCCTTAAAACTTGCATTTGACAAATTCAAATACTTCAAGTTTTTCAGCTGTGCAACTCTAAAGAAACCTCAGAATCAAACTCATTATAAGCCAAGTTCAAATTTTGCAAAAATTACAAGTTGAAGAGGCTGCTGGAATTGTCAAGTCCTCCAGAGACAGATTCTTCACTGAGATCAAGAGCTATAACATGTGCCTTATTATCACATGTTACTCCGCTCCATTGACAGAAAGCATAACTTTGGTTCCAATGAACCAATTTTTTGGACATGGAAGGGTTGAATACAAGGTTGTTCCTCAGATGAAGCAATGCAGATTTTTGATGGCTAATACAATTGCTAGTCACAACAAAGATATTGATGCTCAAGTTTATGATGCAAAAAGGTACCAAGAAAAGCCATAAGATTAGGATGGACCTCATTGCTATAAGAGATTCCAATCCTCTCTGTAAGTGATCAAACGAGGAAGGTGAAGGTTGTTTTTTTCCCTTAACAAAGCACATTATCCTTTTATACATTGTCACTTGCATTAGGATTGAATAATTCAAATTCGTACATTAATCTCAAAGTCTCTTCAATCTCAACAGTCAAATGCATATCCCATCATGGCATCAAGACCCTAATTTTCCCATATAAGCTTTTACCGTAGTTAGTAAGTTTGCATAACTTTCCATTCATGTTCCTATGTTGTCTTGATTGTGATGGTCACTACTAGAGACCCCCCGCCAAGTCCCTTTACTTCTGTATATTGTTTTGTAATACTTCAAGAGCTAGTTAAAGAGGTTGCTTTGGTCATAAATATAAAAATATAATCAACTTTCCCTTCTAAATTTATAATTTTTCCCTATATTATTCCTATTATTGCATATGTTAAAAAGGATTTCCTTAATGAAGCACTACCTCTAATCCTAAATATAAAGGCTAGTTGGCAATCCTAAATATAAGACCTAAATCCAATTTGTCTCCCAAATTTATAATGTGTTTTAAAAAATATTCCTGTCAATTGTAAGGTATTTTCAACCAAGTATAGTTTCAATGTACATTATTGAATAAGGGTAATTTAAGAAAATCTACACATTTATTACAAATAACTAACTTAACTAATTTTCTTAATCTCCTCAATTTAGTTATCTAGCTCTCATGTTAAGGACCGGATGTAGTAGTTTCTAACGCAAATAATTAAAGGAGCTCTGCTAGAAAAATCCATGCACACTTTTTTTTACAAATAATAAACTAGCCAATTTCATTAATTTTCAGTAAACAGTTAAATCTAGCTCTTTGTATGCATAAGACACAAGGTATGTTTTTTCTTCAAACGAAGAGATTTATGAGCATCATCAAAATCTTTTTTTCCCCATCTGTTCAAAGTGCTAGTTGGTGAGTAAAAGTCAAAGTTTGAAAAGTGGAATTAAATTGAAGAAAAACATAAATGTAGAAGGGAAGATAATCAGAGGTTACGAGTCTACGAATTTGAGTTGACAGTTCAAGCTTTGAATTCAAAGCCTCTCCCATGAAAACTATATATGCGCAAATTGCATAGTTACGTACGTGCCGGTGTTGATCAAAGTTCAACTAAATTAAAATGATACATTTCTTTCAGCATATGTTTCAAAATGTTCAACTCTAAATGAAAGTAGAAATACGTAATCTTATAAAAATTTGTGAGATAAAATGAAATAGGGTCTTACATATATAACCAAATCTAATTTCTAACTAGCTCTTATATTAAGGATATAAAATAATATCTAATACTACTATTATACATCGGATGAAATGAGTTGGCTCTTATGGAAAGTATTAAAGTATTATACGATGATATTATTTTGGATACATTTTCCTACTATTGATAGAAGAATAATTTCTCACATCAAATTTTGTTACGTTGATTTAGAGTTTGTAAAGTATTCCGATGGCTAAAAAAGTGTTTTTGAAGGAATTCTTTTTTTTTTTTTTGGGTCACCTAGAGCTAGTTTATATGGTGGCAGTAAGATGGAGGAAGTGAAGCATGGATAGAAGTTAAAAAGATTCAACCCCTCACAATGTATCAAAAAATTCATCATTTCTTGCTGATATTTTTATTATAAATATATAAATATACAGAAACACACACACACAAACACACAAAATATTTTATATCTTTTTTTGTTGCCAATATTTTATGTCATAATAAAGTATATATACTACGATATAGCATCTAAGATATAATCGATTGTGAAATAAAGAAGGAAAGAGAAAATATTTACAAAATAAAAAATATAACATCATTATATCTATTAGTTAATTATCAATTTTGTTTGCTCTAAACCTTTTTTTTTTTGGTGATATTATTAACACTAGTCTAGTTGGGCATTAAACAAAATTAAGGAACAGTTATCTACAGTAAATACCCACAAAATATTTTTTTCGCTATGAAAAATTACAAATATGATAGATTGTACCCACTTTTAACATTAAATATTGTAAAAAACATGTAAAATAAAAAATATAGAAAATCTAATAAAATGGGAGGGGGTGAATTTATAGTATAATGAAACAAACTTTAGAAGTTAAAGCATAAGGAGTATATTCAACAACGACCGTTCGTCCTTATTTTGCTAGATGCCATCTGAAGGATATTCTAAGCGTTAAAAATTTACCCCTTATAATTTAATTAATACATAAACACAACAACAATTATTTGATTCGTTAACTACTAGCCACTTACACCACTTGATCTGATCATAAGTTTTAGCCAAAAAAAAAATAGTAGTAGTAATATTTCTTGATTAAAATTGATCAAACATTCAGAATAATTAATACACACACGTATGTCTGTATCCTCCTCTCATAATGAACATTAATACTATAGAATTTTGCATCTTAGTTAATTATGTAACCAAAGCCTACTAGAAGCAACTAGTGATGTTGCCCTTTTGATAATATTTTACTAACTCCGGTTCTTGATATAAGAGTTAGGTAACTAATTTGAGTAAATTAAGAAAGTTTGTTAAGTTAGTTGCCTATAATAAATAGATGTTTCTTTCCCTAAAACACCATTGCTAATCATGTGTATTAGTTAGAAATACAATTTGATGAAACATTTAACATGTGCAACTATTACAAGGACCACCTTGGGAATAATAGATAAATATGAGAGACCAGGTGGATTGAGATCATATATTTAGGATCAAATTAAAAATCAAACTAGCTCTTATATTAAGAACTAAAGGTAGTATCTCATAAGGAGAAAAGCAAGGGACATTATTAACGGTATTTAAATTAATTTATCCCTACAGACAAAAATTGGGGAAATGTATCTCATTTTATATTAAATTTTTTTATTTTATTGAGTAAAAATAGGGTAACATATTATTTGCGAGTAATAGAATTTCTACCATAATATTGTACAGAAAAAGAATTTTTACCCTAATGTCCAAGAAAATATATATTGTGTAAACAGAAATATAAAAGTAACTTTTGTCCTGATCCAAGTTTATATAGTTTACTATTGTTGAATTTAGAAATGATCTAGAACTTACTTGACATCTCAATTTGATGACTTTTAACGTATATCGAACTTTAAGAGAATTGAGCTGTTCTTCATCTCCTATTTTTATTCTCCAAAAACAAAGTTTGAATGTTGATTTTGTGTCATGTACAAAGACATGAAAATGCAATATTTATGGATACGAGTTTGAAGTAGTAATTGGAAATATTTGGAAATGTATCTCACTTTATATTAAACTTTTTATTTTATCGAGTATAAATAGGGTAACATATTATATGCGAGTCTTAGAATTTCTACCATAATATTGTATAGGAAAAGAATTTTTACCGTAATATCGTTGAATTTAGAAACCATCTAGAATTTACATGACATCTCAATTTGACAACTTTAACATATATCGAACTTTAACAGAACTGAACTATTCTTCCTCTCTTCTTTTTAATCTCCAAAACAAAGTTTGAATGTTGATTTTGTGTCATGTACAAAGACATGAAAATACAACATTTATGGATACAAGTTTAAAGTAGCAATTAGAAATATTTGGAAATGTATCTCATTTTATGTTAACTTTTTTTTATTTTATCGACTCTAAATAGGGTAACATATTATATGCGAGTCTTAGAATTTCTGCCATAATATTATACAGAAAAAGAATTTTTACCGTAATATCTAAGGAAATATATATTGTGTTAGCAGAAATATAAAAATAACTTTTGTCCTGTTCAAAATTTGTATGGTTCACTATTATTGAACTTAGAAACTATCTAGAACATACTTGACATCTCAATTTGACGACTTTAACGTATATCAAACTTTAAGAGAATTGAGCTATTCTCTGTCTCCTATTTTTATTCTCCAAAACAAAGTTTGCATGTTGATTTTGTGTCATGTACAAAGACATGAAAATACAATATTTATGGATACGAGTTTGAGGTAGCAATTGAAAATATTTGGAAATGTATCTCATTTTATATTAGCTTTTTTTATTTCATCGAGTATAAATAGGGTAACATATTATATGCGAGTCTTAGATTTTTGACCATAAGATTGCACAGAAAAAGAATTTTTACCGTAATATCTAAGAAAATATATATTGTACAAACAGAAATATAAAAATAACTTTTATCCTGTTCAAAATTTGTATGGTTCACTATTATTGAACTTAGAAACCATTTAGAACATACTTGACATCTCAATTTGACGACTTTAACGTATATCGAACTTTAAGAGAATTGAGCTATTCTCTGTCTCCTATTTTTATTGTCCAAAACAAAGTTTGCATGTTGATTTTGTGTCATGTACAAAGACATGAAAATACAATATTTATGGATACGAGTTTGAGGTAGCAATTGAAAATATTTGGAAAT